GACGAGCGCGATGTGGGGATAAAGAAGAAAGTGGGTGATGCAAGGACCATCGCAGCATGCGTCGGAACCACTGAGAGAGACGGGTGACATGTGTAGGATAGCGACGTTGGCGGGAGCGTGTGTAGCAGGTCCATCCTTTAGCGAGGGTTGGTGGGGAATGGCCACGAGAAAGCATGCGGCGAGTGAGTGTTGTCGCTGCAGTTCGGAAGTCCTGCCAATTATTGCAGATGCGTTCAAATCTGGTCAATTGCCCAGTGAACACACCTGCCGGTTGATGGGAAGGGATGTTGGAGGTAGCACTTGGATAGCGAATAACAGGGAAATCCCAAGCAGCCGCTTTATCAAACACGCTCATGCGAAGCGAACCATCAGAACGTACCCGTAGATGCATACCTAAAAAGGTACACGAGCCATCTGTAGCCGTAGTTTCCTTCCACTCGAGCCCATAGTGCTCTGAAGGAGGAGGTAATTGCCCCCATGAAAGAACATCATCAATGAGGCGATAAGTGAAGGCGTATCGCTGAGCAGCTTGGGGATCATGTTGACGAATGTCATCAATAAAGCGTGCTTCATCCCAATAGAGAGTTAGATTGGAGATTTCTGGGCCAGCATTTGTTCTATTGGAATACCAATGATTTGCTTTCGAAGAGTACCATCTCTAGTGTACAGAAAAGTGTTTTCTACAACAAAGCAAAGATGTTGGAGAATCTGAGAAACGGAAAGGTTGTCTGGTCTTGAATTGGTTGTCCATTGGCCAGAGCGAGGCCCGCAAATGAACATATTCAAGGCTTTGCAGCGCGAATGCATGCGGGTATGCTGAAGGGCATAAGCATGAGCTTCATCAACAGCCTTTGCCACATTATTCAAAATGCGGTCATGAGGAAGGTTGGTGTACATTGTGGTGAAATCAACCGTGCGAGGAGAGAGGCCACGTAGAGAGGACACATTGTTTTTCAGGTCAATCGCCACCTCATCGGCACTCTGGACGATCCAGCACCGTCGAACACCTTCCTGTTGATAGAGCTCAGTGTCTTTCTCACGAAGAGTAGAGATCACGCCTTGCAAAGCAGTGCTGAGACAGGACAAACTAGCCGTTGTGCTAGCCAAGGGTTTGTGAGGAGGCCGTTCATGAATGGTGCGAATWGAAGGACGAGAGCGAGTGCGTGGGGGGACAGGACAAGTCTTCTGTGTTGTGACTCCAAGAATGCTGCGAAGAGTTGGAGGAGACTTGTGGGCTTTCAACACATAGTATAGGTAAGGCAGGGTATCAGTGTGGGTATAACCCCAATGGTGATTCCATAGTGCATGGTGGTTGAGCACATCAGCAACGGATTCATGAGGACGAGTATAAGTGGGACTGTCCAAATGGGTAGAGAGGTGAAACAAATACCAATTCTTGCAACGAATTGCCAAATTGTGGGATGATTTGTCCACAGGRACAATGGCAAAGTGTTGTTGCAGATGGCGTAAGGAGGCATGTGCACAACGTAGTGAATGTTGCTGGCTCACATGATTGGAAGACGAAGTCGCATTGGATTGACAATGCCGAAGGATTGCAGAACGCCAGCTATGCAATTTCTGAGAAAGGGACGAGAAAGAAGCAGATCGAGAGTGTCTTGCAAAAGTGTTCTTGTAACTGGCAATGTATATATACATATATATATATATATATATATCGTCAAATAGAACTGCCCGGTAAACCGTAGGCAGAGAGGGAGAAGAGGACAACAAACGAGGGGCTGTGACAAACTGTTTCGTCGGAGTTTCACCGACTCATATATATATATATATATATCGTCACAAACAGAACTGCCCGGTAAACCGTAGGCAGAGAGAGAGAAGAGGACAACAAACGAGGGGCTGTGACAAACTGTATATATATCGTCAAATAGAATATATATATCGTCAAATAGTATATATCGTCAAATATATATATATCGTCAAACATATATATATATATATATATATATATCGTCACAAACAGAACTGCCCGGTAAACCGTAGGCAGAGAGAGAGAAGAGGACAACAAACGAGGGGCTGTGACAAACTGTTTCGTCGGAGTTTCACCGACTATATATATATATATACCACGTACTGACCTGCGGAAGGTGGTGCCTTGATGCAGGTGCAGACGTGCTGAAGACGAAGCTGGAGCAATGGCCACGCAGGTAAGTCTCAGGTAAGTCCTCAGGCCGCCATCACCATCTCTCCCTCCCTGCGCTACTCTCCTCTATCAGCGCCCAGCGCTGGACACTAGCCCTATTGTCGACGACTACTGCCCTGCTGTCGTCTGAAGTATGCCTCCTCGATCCGCTACCCAATGTCGTGACTGAGGCCGGACCCAGCTAGATATAGTGCTGGGTTGGCCTCAGCTGCTGAGCCCTGGTGCTCAAACTGAGGCTGGGCCTCAAAAGTTTGGCGCCCAAACTGAGGCTGAGCCTCCAGCGCCTACCGAAACGGCGCGGTCTCAAACTCAGGGTGTTACATGCTGCGCCTGCACATGGGCCCATTTTAAGGGGCCCGGCGATGCTGAGGGCCCGCAGGCTGCATGCCATCAGACATGCGCCCTGGAGGCCCATGGCGGCCCCCAGGCCGCAGATTCCAAATAAGAGGCGGCAGTATTTATTTATTTATTTATTTACTTGCCTGTTGTCTTGTCCCTTGTCTGTGCAGACGTCGTTTCGGACTTGCAGACCCCAAGGCAACGACTTGGGCCAGGTACAGAGGCACGAGGCCCTTCCGAAACCAGGCGCATTTTGGCGCCTGACTCAAGGATACCAATACCGTTTTAGACCGCAGGCACCAAGGCAGCGCCTTGGGCCAGGTACACAGGAACGGGGCCTGATCCAGGCCTGGCGCGTTTTTGCGCCTGCTGCATGAGCAGCATGGTCTGGACGTCCGGTGGGGACCCAGACCAGCTGGGTCGTTTCTGAGGCGAGCACCAGCTAGGCCCAGCCCGCCCAGCGCTACATATAGCTGGGCAGCGGCTGGGCAACACACAGTTCGGTAGCTCACTTCTCGAGCGACACACTGCTGGACCAGCGCTGCAGCTTAGCGCTGCGCTGCGGACTAGCGGTAGGGGAGTAGGTAGGAGAGGGCGGAGGCCATACCTGCGGACGGCGGACTTACCTGGCGCCATAGCTGGGACTCCGCTCGCGACCTGCACAAGACAGCAACCACGCGGTAGTCAGTGACATCAGCCTTCCTGCAGGTGGACAGTAGGGAAGACTATCTCTCCGTCTCCCCCTGCATCTCTCTCTCTCTCTCTCTCTCCTCTCTTCTTCTTCTTCTTCTTCTCCTTCTTCTTCAGATACGAGGGTGAGAGAGGTGACAGGCAGAGGATACAGGCAGAGGTGACAGTGGGCATGATGCCCAGGTTCTGGTTCGATATTTCCGAGGCAGACATTGATTGGACATAGGCAAGGGACTATTTTTGGAACTTCGCTATTGCGATCTTGGTCTTCTCCCTCGCCTCCATCCTTGTCTCTTATCTTCCCCCCATCTCACCTCTGTGGTATCTCCCCATGTGCATGTACAAGGAGGGACCTTTCTTCGTCGTGTGCGGTCCCTCCTCCTTATCTCACATGTGTGGTGTATGATGGGATGTCGTGTCAGTCCCGGTCAGGTCAGGACTGATATCCAAGTCTTCCACTGTGCTATTTTGTGCCATTTCGTATGTATCAGGGTGTGCATTGCTTGTTGATGTCTCACTAACATTGCATTGCCCATTCAGTACTTTTTATCACATTGCAGATTCTTGGCTGTACACACATTGCCCAACTGGGCATGTATCAGTCAGGGCCTTGTCACCAAAACGCGTGCCAGGGCCTGTAACCAAAACGAGGCCTTCAGGGCCTCTAACTGGTACCGGTCCTACTCAGGCCTAAAACCGGCCTACCGACCCTGCGGACTCTACTGAGAGCCGAAACGACACAGACCCTACACCTACGGACCCCTAGCCTACCTGGTTGGGCCCTGCTGGGCCCGTGTGGACCTGAGCATGCCACACTCAGCCTCATTTGCGGTATGCAAGTTTGGGCGTCGTGCTGCTTGAGCGGGCGCTAATTCTCAGAGTGCTGCTGGAGAGAGGAGTGCTGGGCAGTACAGCACTGAGTGGAGAAGGAGCTGGGCGCTCTGCCTGGCTATGGCGAGCAGCCCAGCCTGAGGAGGAGGAAGAAGGGGATGGAGGGGGAGAGGGGTGAGGTACTCACCTGGCTATAGTGGACGCCATCTTCATCACCTTGTTAGGCGCTGCATTTGGAAGGCCCCAGTTGGGAGAAGCACCGCACCAAGAAGGCTTCAAGGCAGAGTTAGGCATGGCGGCCTGCGTAGCAGTGGACATAGCTGCTTTGCATTGTCTTTTGCACATCAGGGCTAGGCCTTTAGTAGTCCGCCATATCCTCGGCCTGGTTGAAGAGAAGGAAGAGAGAGGCTATGGCTATGGTTGACCTCTGGTTATGCCAAGCAGTAGAAGAGGGATTCGGACTTTGATTCTGGTTGTTTGAATAAGAGAGGGGGCGATAAGGAGGAGAAGTTGGTTGGTGGGAGAAGGGGGAATTGTCATTGGCCTTTTGCTGGTGTACATCTTCTTCTTCTTCTTCCTCCTCTCATTTATTTCTTCTTCTTCTTCTTCTCTTTTCTTTCTTCTTCTTCTTCTTCTTCTTCGCTTATCTCTCCCTCCTCTCAAGTTCATTCATTTTGCAATTGGACAGCATTGGACTTTCTTGTGAATTTGCACTTCGAAATTGGCCAGGATTGTAACAAAGGTATATACAACAAGTTTGTGTGTCCGCAGTTGGGCAGATATGGCCGCCAGCTGACAACAACCAACTGCAGATGAAGTCTCTCTCAATCCTCAGGCCTTGCTCTTTCCAAATGTGTTCTCTCTCCTCGGCTATGCTGCCCTAAGCTACGGCACCCAGCGCCCATTGACTACAGCTTCTCTCAGCCTTATTGGTCCCACTCGTCACCCAGTTGAACAGCAACAAACAGTGCTTCTGTGGCCAGTATGAATGGAATCACGTGTAAACAGCAACTGCTGCTGTGCTTTCGTATGTGAGGGTTTAGCTTCCCTTCCCTTGGACTCTTCCGGTCGGCACCTGGTGGCCTGCCAGCTGTGGACTTCAGGTTGTTGACACCTCTGAAATGTTCAACGACTTTCCTGGGACTCTGGGCCGCTGACTTGCCTGCAGCCAGAGTGAGCTGGACTCCGCCTCTTAAACCACCAGTGCTTTTCCCAGCCAAATTTCTCCCATGCAGAACACCATGCACCATGTTTTTCGGGATGTACCAGCCTGCAAAGTGGCACACTATTCATTCGGCCGAAACAGGGGTGTGCATGCTATGCTTTTGCCGGAATGTTTTCCACCACACGGCACTACAGCTTCTCTCAGCCTTATTGGTCCACTCGTCACGCAGTCGAACAGCAACAAAACAGCACTGCCGTCGCTAGTATGAAAGGAATCATGTGCCCAAGCGGGCTTAGCTCAGTTGGTTGAGCGCGTACATGGTATTCAGGAGGTCGTGGGTTCGATTCCCCACGACGTCCATTCAATCCCCCATGGCCCCCTGTGATACGCTTCAGGTTCACCAGTGGAGTTAACTGGCTTGGGCCTCCTGGCTGGTTGCGGGAGTGTCTCCGCACTTTCCAGCTCCCGCCAGGTGTTAGGAGTCAGGGTTACTGCTCCCCGCATAGACCCGAGTTGAGTAAAAAGTTGGGATTCACTAGGGAGAATGTCGGGAGGCTGGGAATCCAACCCATAATCCTAAGCGTCCCATGCTGCAAAGGTGCATATATATCAGGAAAATCTGAGAGAAAAAAATATGCATACAGCTGTCCACCGACGAGGAGAAGACAGCTTTTTATTTAAAAAAACGGAAAAGAAAAAAAAAAGGAATCATGCGCAAACGGCAACTTCTGCTGTGATGTCGTATGTGAGGGTTTAGCTTCCCTTCCCTTGGACTCTTCCGGCCGGTACCTGGTGGACTCCCAGCAGTGGACTCCTGGTTGTTGACACCTCTGGAATGTTCAATGACGTTCCTTGGACCCTGGGCTGCTGACTTGCCTGCACCTCTTAAACCAACAGTGTTTTTCCCAGCCAAATTTCTCCCATGCAGAACACCGTGCATGGCATCATTCGGGATGTACCAGCCTGCCAAGCGGCACGCTATTCATTCAGGCAAAACGGGGGCGTGCATGCTATGGTTTTGCCGGGATGTATTTTCCACCACACGGCAGACCAGTACATCCCAAACGAAGCGGTGCAAGGTCTCGAAAATTTTCCCTTGAGATATACTGGTGGTTTAACCTACCAGACCCTATGGCAAAAGCAATAGTTCTCCTGCTGCTGGCCACCTTTTATCTGACCCATAGCAAAGTCAGCTCAGATCACATGTCTAAGAGCTACAACTCTGCTCTGGTTGGACATTCTATACTGAGCTAAATTAGAAACCGTATTCCATCAGGAATTCTGGGAAAAATTCTGGCCTCTCATGGGGACTGACTTGCAGAACTTCTACACTGACAGCTGGTCTAGAGGAGGGCTGGGCAACTTACTCAGCAGCAGCATAGTCACGCTGCTCTACAAAAAAGGGGAGAAAGAAGACATAAGGAACTATAGACCTATCTCACTACTGACACTCCCGTACAAGATCTTGGCCAAGGCCTTGTCCAACCGGATCACCAAAATCACAAGCAAATGCTTCCACATTGACCAAACAGGTTTCATCCCTGGACGCTACATCCTTGACAACGTAATGACACTTAATGAATCGGTAAGGAAAATCAGGGAAAGGAAAATCAACGCAGCCATCTTGTTTTTCGACTTTGAGAAAGCGTATGACCAAGTCAACTGGGATTTTATGGAGGAAAGCATGGAAAGAATGGGCGTGGGRCCAAACTTCAGGAAGTGGGTCAGGATACTGTACCGGGACGCGGTAGGTTGCGTGCAGGTAAATGGGTTTTTATCCGAATCCTACCCGATCTCCCGGTCAGTCCGCCAAGGGGACCCATTGGCCCCATCAATTTTTCTCTTTGTAATGGAAGCAATCACTTCCTTCCTACGCAAAACCCCCTCTATACAAAGACTGGCCAGCACAGAAGTGGGTACAGCCCACCAGGTGGACTTTCCCACAGCCATCATGTTTGCCGATGACCTGACGGTTCTGATCAGGGCTTCAGACTCCTCCTTCAGAACTCTAGCCAGAGCAATGGAGGCGTTCAGACTAGCTTCAGAAATGAGGATTAATTGGGGGAAAACGATAGGATGGTGGCTCTCCGACGACGAACCCTTCTCTCTTCAGGGAGAAGAGGCGGCCATGACATGGCAAACGCCTGCCACGCCTACCCGTTATTTAGGCATCTTGATGACAAAAGACGGGTTGGCAGCTCAAATGGGACCCTCAATGTTGACCAAACAGATCAACAAGATAGGGAGATGGGGCAACACGTTTACATCCCTCTTTGGTCGAGCGCTGGTCCTTAGCACGTCTGTTTTCTCAATGATGTGGTACATAGCTTCTATCTGGACAGTTCCCGACAGCTCGGTGAAGGAGTTGAACCGTAGAGCCAGGCTTTATCTGTGGACAGGCGACCCCCACAAAGAAAAATGCATCCCTAAGATAGCCTGGCACTATGTCACAAGGAGTCCTAGGAACGGAGGCCTGGGCCTCATTGACCCGGGGACAGAGACCAAAGCCTTGCAAATAAAATGGATCATTAAACTGCTGACAAATCCAGACACCGCTTGGAACAAGTTGGCATTAGACAGCATCAGGGCGGTGGCCCCTACCCGCTCCCCACCCGATATGTCAGGACTGTTCTGGGTCATGAATAAGGAATGGAGGATAACAACGGGACGCAGGAATCGGACTAGGAATAACAGACCAGAAGATGTCCGACCTCASTCCCYGTACTSGCCGGTGCTGCTTCRACTCTGGAGGAKAATTTGTCCCACCAGGATCAACAGACCAAAGTCGAAAGACGAAATTCTCAGACAACCGCTTTTTGGTAATGAATGGATAACGAACGAGGCCAACAATCCGATATATATGGAACAAAAATGGCTGTCATGGGTCAAGAATGGGATCTGGAAGATAGACCACTTGTGGGAAGAGGATAGAAAAGACTGGGCTACGGAGCAAGAGGTTAATGCACAACTGAAAGGATGCCACAGGAGAGAAACCACCTTGCAGTACCTAATTAGCCGTATCCCGCAAGAATGGAAGGACATCCTTGCCACGGACGAGCCGTGGAGAGTCGGGGACTGGGGCCTCTTGATCCAAGACACCCCTCCTACTAGAGCCTACCAATTTTCCCACATGCAGCGTGATTCACCTACCAACGCAGTCTTCCATTCCTTCCCGATATCCACCACGGGCTCAGATATGCCAGCCATCCATAATCGGGAAGTCGAATGCTCCACACTAGATTTTTTTCTCCTCAGGAAGGTCAGGGTCATAGGCACATGGCCGAAGTCCATTTTTAGACCAGATACGGCTATCCGAGCCTTAGAATTTGACCCGGAAGAGTGGGCATGGACCTCAGGCAGCAATTGGAGTGTCAAGACGAAAACTCCGGTTCAAGACTATACCGTTAAATTTGGGTACGGACTACTAATGAAGACCAAAGACCCAGGTCCCATTATCTTAAACAGATGGCGAAAGCTGGTGGGACAGGAAGCCGACAAAATCCAACAGATCCCATGGAAAAAATATGCACAGATTAGACCAGTTAAGATCAGAAGTCTGCAGTGGTTGATAGTGTATGCTGCCTTACCAGTGAACCAGTGGCTGCACACTAGGTGTAAAGCTACTAATCCGGATAGCTCGGAGATATGTACAGTCTGCTCGGCAGGAGCGGTAGAGGACATAGTCCACTGTTTGGTGCACTGTGTGGAGGCGACAGATTACTGGGCGAGAGCCTCTTCCCTGTGGGACTCCCTCTTCTCTTCCCCTTTCCCTAAACAACCCATCCAACTACTACTCCTCACTAACATCCCCACGATGACTCGGAGGGCGGAATCGAATTGGTTTGAACTCATCAGGAAGGTGACCCTATGGGTGATCTGGAAGGAGAGATGCAGCAGATCAATTGAAGGACTATCAAATCCAAGGGACAAGGTATGAAACTGCGTTCGTCAGTAAGAACTGTCCGAGCCAACGGGAGGTGCCGCCGATTGAAGATCGAAAAAGAAAAAAGGGGAAGGAGGGCCGGGATCAAAGAAGGTGCAGAGTGGAGAGGGTCTCATAGAGAACTGAGGGCAGTATCAGGTCGACACATCACTGGAAGGCGGAAGCAAGGGGGAAAAGTTATTATTTAAAGCATCCAAAGTTCCAAACAAGGGTAGGGTTTAGGGTTTAGGGTTTAGGGTTCAACAGAACTCATAGGATGGGGGAGTAGCTGGATTTAAGGAAATCACAGCAAGTAAGGGTGGGGTGGGGATGAGGGACAGCATGAGAGGGCAACAGCACGGGAGGAGCTCTTTCTAGGTATAACAGATAAATCTGACAGAACTGCAACAGTAGATCTGAGAAGGAAGAGCGTCTCTGGGCAAGCTGACAGTCAATCCTCCACCCAACGTGGAGCAATCAATGCTGTTCAGGGGTCCTCTGGCCAGACGGGAGGAAGCGTGAGTTGGTTGCTGTGATGTATCATGCCTTGACTTGCCGGTGGAATAGGAACCGGACTGTCGCTCCCCAGAGTGGAAGGAGTCGGGACCATAAGGCCCTGTTTCTTGGTAAAAAAAAAAAAAAAAAAAAAAGAAACCGTATTCCATCATGTTTTCGTCAGAACCACAGTAAATTTGGCACTCCACCCCTCTTTGGATAAGAAGCGCAGCACATCTTACCTGCCTGTCAAACAAGACTAATGTATCGATTTCAGACCATCCAGCCTGCACAAGAAGTTGGACACAGTGGACGGGATAGTTCAGTTCAGAATCAGAACTAGTAAACCAACGACCCAACAGACTATCAACAAACTCAGTGTTTTCCTTTAGGCCACAAACAGACAGCTCATTCCAGAGAAACGAACCAATCAGCAAAACAATTTGAAAAAGAAGTCCTTCCCAACTTCGAGCTCGGTAGTCATTAGATCTTTTTGACTCCCCATGGATCAGAATGTCATGGGGCCTGCAGCTCAGTGGATTAGAGCACATGGCTATGAAACACGGTGTCGGGGGCTCGAATCCCTCCTCGCCCACTCACTAACTAGGAACCACCATGAATTGAGATCAATTCTCAATTACTGTAGTGTATTGTTCAAATACCTTAGCAAGGTAGTATAAGTTTATCGACTAACAAAAGAAAAAAGCTGTGCTACTCACGAAGTAGTAGTGCATCCTTTTGGAGCGATTCTGAAAACCACAATAACTGGGAGATAGATGGCAAAGGAACTCTGCACTTGGGTGCAGAAGCCCTCGATCTCCAGATCATTGACGTTGGCATTGAAGAGGGCTAATAGCTTGCATCATTGGTTGTTGATTGGCAGCAAGCTCTCACTAGCCCGGACTAGGAAGAGGCGGGCAGCCATAACTGTGGCAAAGACAGAAGAAGAGCTGAGGCCATATATTGATTGCCATTGAAAAGAAGAACAAGAGAGAAGAAGAAGAGACTCAGAACAAGGACAGGAGGCACAATATGGCATTTGGAAAGGAAAGTGCACAACGGAAAAAATAGAAGACTAGGATATTTCCTTGAATATTGCATAGAGAGAAAAAAGGCAGGAGAGTAGTATTCTTTCAAAAATTATCTAAATCATTTATGCCAATCCGTTTTTTTCTAGGCCATTCACAGTGGCACTTTTCCTGCAGCTGGCCCTTGCATACGAATTTGAACTCCTTGGAGGTTCCAGAAGGGTAAAACGTTGGCTCAACGTCAAAGATCGGCCCCCGCCCCCTTTTTGGCCAAACAACAGTAGACTTTAAAGAGTATCCCAGAGATGCACAACTAAGAAAATCATGTCATCACTATGTGTTTCTTGGAATCTTGAGGGCATATACAGGCAGCGCCCTGTGTGCATGCCAATCACGCACCAGCACGGCAACGCACACAGCAGACGATGTGCACGGACAAAGTGCACTGCATCGGGGCAAATAGACGTACCAGGAAAAAAAAGAAAAAGTGCAGGGGCCTACAAAACATCGACATGCATGGTGCAGAACCAACAACCTTCCAAAGGAGAAATAACAATGGCAATTCCGTGGAAGGCTGGAATACACAGATCTGTTAGGACCTGCCAAACACGAACTGAGACAAACAGCTGATTTCTGAGTGCTGTAAATGGTGCAATCAGACTCACTCTCATTCACACTTCGCATGCATGCAAACAGGTGCGCAGCAAACTGGCGACAAGCGCCCACTCAAAACTCAGCGATATGGCAACCAAAACGCAGCTCAGATACAGGTTCACTTCAGATGGCTATGGCGTCACAGCGCCCACACAACTCTCTGTTCGCACACACAGGATCACCCTGGATATCCCACACACGATACTCTGTACACACACACACACACACGCTGAACTCTATCTACAGCTATGGCGGCTATGGGTGCTGCGACCCTATCGCTATGGCTACGCTCCTTCTCTCTCGCCCACTTCGTGTTCTGGCTCACTGCAGACCACCTAGCACAAGTCACTGTGGCAGCGCTTCCACATGGCTCATGCAGGAATGAATGAATGACTGGGCGTTGCCTCTTGATTTATACTTCTGCAGCTCGTTGGTCTGGCCCTTTCCAATGCCCGTAGTGCACACAGTCCCATGCGGTACTTGCTTGACTGGACTAGGACTGACTGGGACTGGGACTGCTGACTCAGCACGGGTAGACTCCTCCACTTGCCCACTTGCCTCAGCCTAAACATGGGCAACTTCGAAAGGCCACTACTCGGACCTTCCGGAAGGCCGTAGACTTGGCCTTTTGACACTGTAGCAGCTACGACCTTGACCTTTCTGGACTGTAGCAGCTACAACCTTGACCTTTCGGGAAAGCTACAGCTACGACTTCTAGACCTGACTAAGACTCCTCCTCGACAGGTCTACAGATCGAACCCCTGCTACCTATGGACCCTACGACAGTCTACCAATTGTTACAAATACACAGGTCACGGGTTCAACTCTAGGGGTCGACACAGATACTGTACACAGGTAAGGTGGGGACTAGGGATAGAGCCCTGGGATCTTCATCGGCTACTGCGAACTGGTGAATACCGTTTCACTCCCGCTGGCCTAAATTCGAGGTCCTCCGAGAATAACTCAGTCCAAGGCAGGACCTTTACCTTTCTTATATCTCTCGTAGGCTCTAACTATGTCGGGAGCTGTCTCTAGAAGTTCTGCTCTAGTGAACCAGCGGTCGTCCTCCGGTTCCTGATAAGCAAACCGGACCTTATACTGCTTCTGCGGACGGCCTCTACCTCCTGTTCTGAACACATCTTCACCTACAATGCCGTCAATGTCGTATCTTCCGTCCATGTCTGGGGGGATCATGGATCTCCTAGATGGAAACTGTTGACTCGCGACACACGGCAGCAACTTTGATGCATGAAATACAGGGTAGGTGTGGAGGTGTGCTGAGATCTCTATGGTGTAGGACGATCCATCCTCTCCGCCCTTAACTTCTAGAACTGGCCACGATCCTCTATACGCGGGCAGTAACTTCTGCGAGATGTTTTCCTCAGGAGCGAACTCTTTGGACTTGACCCAGACTAGGTCGCCTACCTGAAACTACGACGGGCGACGGTGCTTATTAGCTTGTTCTATCATTCGGTGCTGGGCCTTCCTGAGGTTCTCAACAACAGTGGCTATCTCTTTCATATGCTGTATCGCAAACTCCCGACTACCGGGCGTAGCCTATGAATCTGATCCCGGTTAAGTCCTTCAAACGGTCTGCGCGGTCTAAAGGACTTGTGCAGCTCATTGGGAATGCGACACGTGGACAAGTGCACGCTGTTATTGTACGCACTGGCTACCTTGGGTAACATCTCGTCCCAGTTGATCTGATCGGGTCTAATGTACATACGCAGAACTTGTTCATCTGCTCTGTCTGACCGTTTGTCTCTGGATGGCGGCCAGACGACATTAACAACTTAGATCCATAGACTCTCATCAGCTCCTGCCAGTTCTGGCTAGTGAAGTGACTATCTCTATCGCTGACTATAGACAACGGGACTCCATGCTCACTAACCCAAAAGTCAAAAAACTTTTGAATCACTAACTCTGTACGGGCCTCTGCAGGCAAAGGAACAAAAACAGCATACTTGCTAAATCTATCGACTATAACCATGACTTGGCTCTTGCCGTGCCTACTCTTGACCTGCGTATCCATAAAGTCAATGGACACAGAGTCTCCTGGCTGATCAGGAATAGGCAAGGGTCTGAGAAGACCGAGGGGGGCACTCGTAGTGCTCTTGTTTCTCTGACAAATATAGCTCCAAAGTAGTCTGATCTCCTACTTAGAGCATCCGCAACTACATTGTACTTGCCCTTAACAGGCTTGAGCTCGAAGTCGTACTGGTCTATCTCAACGGCCCACCTAGTCAACTTAGGTGTCACCTTGGCCTGTGTCTTCAGCCATCTAAGAGTCTTATGGTCTGAATACACATTGAAGTGCCTCCCAAGCAGTTAGTGCTTCCAGTGCTCTAAGGTATGCCTGAGAGCGTAGAGTTCCCTCTTATACGTCGAGGTAGCAACCTTCTCTGAGGGCAGCCTCGCTGACATGAACTCTACGGGTCTGTAGCCATTGTCGTCATCCTGCTGTAACACGGCGCCTATTCCATATTGACTCGCGTCCGTGGTGACGACAATTGGCAAGGACCGATCTGCTACTTTGAGGACAGGGTACTCTATCAACGCGCGCTTTAACTTCTTTAGCGCGGACGTGCAGTCTTTATCCCACTGCCAGATTGCCTCTTTCTTGAGCAACCTGCGAAGGGGAGCGACGATAGTCGAGAAGTTCCTCACGAACTTCCTATGGTAGTTAGCTAGGCCTAGGAACGACCGCAACTCAGTCAACGTGCGGGGCATCGACCAATCTCTAATCGCCACTATCTTACTGTCCTCATACTTAATGCCATCTCCGTCTAACACGTGGCCCAAGTAAAGGAGTTGTGTCTTGGCCCACTCACACTTCTTCGCATTGATCTTGAAGTTAGCCTCTCTCAACTTCTCCAAGACCTGCCTCAAATGACCCTGGTGCTCCTGGAGGGTCCTACTGAACACTAGGATATCGTCTAAATAAACTACGACGAATCTATCTAACCAAGGCCTAAATAGATCATTCATACATCGCTGAAATGTAGCCCTCTGGTACTCCCCATCAGTCTAGGTCAAGAATAGTCAGTCCAAAGGGCATCACTATGAACTCATAATGCCCATACCTAGTCTGAAACGCAATCTTGTACTGGTCATCAGGATGAACCTCTATCTGATGATATCCAGACTTTAAATCTATCTTTGAGAAATACTTGCACCCCTGCACCCGATCTAAAAGATCGTCTATCCTGGGCAGTGGCTCAGCGTTCTTTACTGTGATTACATTCAGACCCCTATAGTCTATACACATACGTAGCTCTCCTTCCTTCTTGGGGACAAACAAAATTGGTGCTCCAAAAGGAGATGAACTGGGCCTAATCCAACCTTTTTGTAGTAGCTCATCCAGTAGCTTGCGCAACTTCACTAACTCTCTAGGGGACATCCTATAGACTGCTCCCTTAGGAGTCTCACTGCCAGGCTCTATCTCTATTTTGTGCCGGATTGGCCGCGACACTATTCCTGTCGGCGCAAATCTTTAAACTCTTCCAGCAACTTGGCAATGGCTGGATCCATGGAACTATCCTCTTCCTTAGGCTCAGTGACAGGTCTGACATATACTACAAATACCTGGTCCTCTAACTGCTCCT